TCAACTAAACCTAAACGTTCATCTGATGTATGATGACTTGTTACTGATCTAAAGATAAATACAAAAACAAACCAAAGCTTTGTTTTTTTTTTTTTGTTTAAAAATAAAAACCTTGGTTCAGATTTTGAATCAATTTTAATTTCATGTAAAATTTCTCCATTTTGTATAACAAATAATTTTCCTTGATCTGTACCAGCTAATAATCGATCATCAGATACCCAACAATGACACGTAAAATTAAAATGTTCTTGTTTAAGATTTTGAGATGGTTTCAATGCTGATTCAGCATAACGAAACATTTTAAATAAACCATTACCAATTGTACATATTTGTGTATTATCTTGTGGATTAAATGATACCTTTACAAAGAAACAAAAAATTTCAATAAATAAATAATAAGAAAAAAAAAATTCAAAGTTACTTGATTAACTGTTGCATTTGCTTGTGGACCTGTTGGTGGTTTAACATCAATATGTGCCATTACTTTACCTTTTTCCCATGACCAATAGACAAGTGTATAATCTGGTGCACCACCTTGAGTTAATAAATATTTTGAATCCGATGAAAACAATAATGATACAATTTCATTTGATTTTATTAATTCTGATTGTAAAGTTTTTCTACGTTTACCCGATTGAAGATCATAGATTGTTACTTGTGGACGATCATTTATACGTTCAGCAATAGCTATTACACGTCGATTAGGACTAACAGTCATTGTTGTTAATGCTTAAAAAATACAACAGCAACAATAATAAAATATAACTATTGAATAGATTATTTGAATTTACCTTGAGAATTCATTGAACATGGAATAACTCGTTGGGCTTTTTGATCAATTCCATATAAGACAATATTACCACCAGCAATATAAGCAACAGTTTGTTCATCTTGAAATGCTAAACCATTAGTAACAGAACTTCGAACACCGATAACTTGTTTGATAGATAAAAGACCAGCTTGAGACATTGTTTAGAATAATTTTATTTTGAACAAAAATTGAGTAACTATTGTTTTATTTGTTGACAGGATACTTAACACTCTATTGAAAATCAACAAATGTAAATTCATCCATTCTTTCGTATGTGTATGTGAATATATGAGAAACCATTTTTGATTATTATATCCATGACAACCATAGTGCACAAAGAAACAATCAAATTAATTAAAAATAACTAATGAAGAACAAAATTTCTTTGTTAATTAGTAAAGAAAAAGTAAAATATCGAAGAATATTTGTAAAATTAATTATATAATAGAGAATATAAAAATTGACTGTAGCGCTCGATAATGAAGCAATGTTGCATTGGTTGTCTTTCACTTCACGCTCTGCTTTGCTCTGTAGCTTTTTTTGGGTATATGAATCATGGACTTCTAACACTGTTAAACACGTTCAGTTTTTTATCACTTTAGTTGAAGAAAAAATGCAGAATCACTTCTGTTTCTTCAACAGAGTACGTTCGATCAAGCTGAATTTCTTTTACAGGCACTTGATACTATTTAGGATGTCTTAATTTTTTTTCTTGTTTTGAAAAATAATACATCAGTGTTTATTGGCAGATTTTACAAAATATCTCTTATAAATAGAAAATATGTATTTATAGTTCTCGAAGTAAAAATTAAAAGGTAGGTAGCCAATAGCAAGAAGCAGGAACAGTTGAACATATTGAGTGCTTACTTCCTAGACTTTGAAGAGATGATTGCGAATGTAGTCAGCACATTGAATGAGCTAGATATTCCATCCTCAAATCTGTCTTATGAGCAAATTGGATCACAGATGATTTTATTTTGCTATTCATTGTATATTGTAATCAAATTTTTTCATGATGAGTCGAAATAAAAACTAGAAGATTTAAGGGTATCCCCCCGACCCCACCCCCCGCCCCCCTCCCCCCCTCCCAGGCTCCCTGTCCGTCGTGACATGGCGGCGGGCCCTGTC